GACCGGATCTTTGTAACCCAAGATGACAATCATATCAATGAAAAAGAACACAGTTTTCCACGCGAACAAAGGCTTCTCAGGCTGATTCTCATATGATTTGGGAAAATGCTCGGTCACAGAGGACACGGAATAAGTTTCGTCGGATTGATGAAGAGGGAAAGAAGGTCTTCCATTCTGCAGATGAGGCTTCAGGCGGAGACCCTGAAGATTATGAGAACTGTTCCGAGCGAGGTTAGTTACTTACTCATTCTTTCTATCTTCCAGAATTATTAATCTTGACAACTGTTTGATGTTTCAGGGACCGTAGCTGACAAAGATGAAGAATTCCGTCCTTTTTCCCAAGCGAGACCTTCGACTGTTGTCCTTGCTGCTAGGCGGAAGAGATTAGCCCGTAAGCCGCGTGCAGCTTCGCGAGTATCTGATATGGATTTGGCTGGTGACGATGCTGCTAGCGACGGAGGTAACATCTACTCTATAGACCATCTTCTTGATAATTCAGAACTTTGACTCATGCTTTCCATCTCTATATAGGAGAACGTGGGGAGAGCGAGATGAGTCCTGATCCTGCTTTTCATGATTTTGCATCTTCTAGTGAGCATGACTCACCATACCAGGTAGAAAAACCTGCAGAAGCCGCCGACGTTAGGAAGACTGCCAATGTAGGACCCGATTCGACGAATCCAGGTACATCTACCATTGACAATATATCCTTTAAATGGCACACAAAGGAGTTGAACGATTCAGAATTTGTGCATTCCCTAATTGTCTCTGTGCTTCTCGCTCTTTTAGATAACTTGCAGGAGGCAAACGTGGATCTTGGGAATAAAGAGGCTGATGCACTTATAAGAGGTAACTCATTTCTATTGGTTGTAGTCTCTTTATTCTTCTTTCGTACTTATATTCTCTTGAGTCAGATTTCTCAACTGATGATTTTGACGAGGAAGGCTTGCTTGTGGACACTCCTATGCTCCACTTCATGTATGGCTTTCCTCAGATTGATGACCAGTTGCCTGGAGATATATTTCCTGAGTCTACACTCCCTAAGAATCTCGAGGATGGTTCTTCTGAAGGTACGTGGCTCTTCTCAAGTTTATTATAGGACTAGCCAATTTTTGACTAATGCAGCTATAATGTGATGCATCTGAGAATTCTGTTTTATATTTGACAGGAACTTTTGTCGAGACTGATCATGTTGAGCCGGCTGTGAGACCAACTACACCAGTTGATACACCCACAGCCGTTACACCTTCACAACCCCCAGTGACCCAAGGGGAAGAAGGTATATATTAAGCAACTGAGAAATGTCATTTACTTCCTTATTAAGGTTTTCTTGACGAATTTCTCCTTCTTGTGTAGAGCTTTCTTCTCGGCTTTATGTCCTTGTGAAGGGGTTGTTATCTGACAATGACCCTGAGAAGATCGTCATCTGCATAGTGTTGGCCTTCTTGTTTTGATGATGTTTAACAAACAATTTATCACTAATGTTGTTTGTCTAGTATTTGTGTTTTCGTATTTGTTGTAGACAAACAACATAGTTGGAGGTTGGATGGATTGCGCCATAACGATCATATCCAAAGGAGGTTGGCGGAATGTCGGTGAAGCCTTGCTATTCAAAGTTCAAGATCCAAGTTCAAGCTTCATCCGCAAGTGTACCAAGTCAAGCTTAATTGAAGATCAAGATTGCTTGGGTAATGTAGTTTAGGTTTTATATTATGTGTGATAAATACGTTAAGCTCAATTATCTATACACACACATTTTATTAGTTTCCTTGTATATATATGTAATCACATATATATACAACACAAGTTTTGGTTTTCATGTTTATAAATATGAAATTACATGTTTCATATTTATTATTGTGATTTAGTTTATCTACATATATATGAAACAAATGCATAAAATTGGAAAATACTATTTTGTTTCATGTTTATATGCCTATATATGATTTCACCTTTAACAAGCTTATATTTAATGAAATCATATTTAGTGTTTTGAATATATTGCATAGAATATGCAAATTTATGAAAATATTGTATTTCTAGATTATAGACTTCATAACAACATGTTATATCTTTTATCAAGTCTATACAATCATTTCATAAGGTTTCAAAATGTTGTTTAAGTCAAAATATCAAAATATCAATTTTCAGGTTTTCATGTTTTGGCTAGTTTTTGTACCGTTGGCTGGGTCTTTTGGTCTCATTTTGTTTGGGTTTTTGGCTGAGTTTTGAGAGGGTATATATACCCCATTGCTGATGTCTTTTCAAACTAATTAAGAGAGTTTTAAAAACAAGTTTAAGAAAGTTTTAAACAAGGGTTTGAGTTTGATTAGTTTGTTTTTGGGGTTTGCTGTTACAAAGAGGAGTTTGCATCACCAGTTGAGGATTTCATCGTCAAAATCTTCTCATCCTCTCTTTGTGTTTAATAGAGAAGTTTTCTAACTCTTTTCCCTAGCAATTTCATTATTGATTTATCATATATTAATTATTGCTAGTTTGCTATTTGAGTTAGATTTCATTTTACTCATTATTACACACACCCACATTGAGCTTTTAGTATTTACATACATAGTATAGTTGGGTGGTGAGAGGTTGTAACTTTGAGTTGTCCTTAATTGTGTTATCATCCATAGTTAAGAACAATCATTTGTTATATTGTGCTTATTGTGAGATTCACTTTGTAATACACTTGTACACCGAGTGAGGAGTGTGTGGTGAGAGTCGGGGATCGTCCCAAGAGGAGTGGCGTCGGTTGACGTGCCTAGGGAGAGGTTGTAACCGAGCACTTGAGGGAGACACGGCTAGGTCCAACACTTAGTGGGTGTAGAGTGGGATTACAATAGTGTGTTGATTGTAAAGTTTTCGGTTAGCTAGAAAACCGAGTGTGAGGTGTAAACGTTGTTCGGGTGAACGTAGAAAACCCGGTTGATAGTGGATTTCTCCCCGGGAGTGGGGAGCGGAGACATAGGACGGAAGGTCCGAACTTCATGATCATCTTTGTGTGTTTGTGATTGTCTTGGCGTCTCACTTGTGCTTATTGTTCATATCATTCTTATCGCCATTATCTATTGTTCACATTATCCACTATCTTGTTTATCTTGTTTATGTTTATATCACCCTTAGTTTATATATCCTTGCATATATATTTCATCATATAGGATATATCACTTTGTGTATATTGCATATTCTTGCCCATAATAGATTGTATACCTATCTTGCAAGAATATAGTTGTTAATTATTTTTAATTGGCATTTAATCGGATTAGATTAGCATAAGACCCTAATCACCCCCCCTCTAGGGTCTAACACATAGAAGTCCGCTCCTTCTTCTCCTTCGTGAATGCTATGATTGGCAAACTCTTCAACGGCAGACTTTCCCTTCACCAGTTTAAGCCTTTCCTTGATTCTAGGATAAGTTCGATAAGGGATGCAGGATACCCGGATTTGGCGAAGGCTATAGTTGATGACCTTGACTGCCTAGAGCATGAGCTTCAGATGTTTCGCAAGCTCCGGGATGCAGGTGCCTCTTCATTCATTGCTGCCGAGTTGGACACTCGCTTACAGACATGGCGCGATACTCAGCTTTTTGCTGAGCTCGAGATTCAGGTGCAGCGGGATCGGGTAGACCGAGTTGAGGCCAATCTTGCTATTAGATCATCTTCACTCGACGAGCTTGATTCTTCCATTACTTCTTGTGAGACCCAGATAGACCAGCTCCGAAGAGAACTCCATGAAAAAGAGGAGACCTTGAGTATCCTTTAGATGACGAAGGTACAAGATCAGCAAGCCCACACTGCTTTATCTGAGGAGTTGAAATCTTTGAAGCAGAAGCTGACCGAGACGGAGGAGGTTGTTGCGAAGACTTTAGCCACCACCGAGGAGTCCATCAGAGCTGAGCTGAGGCAAGCTTATGATGAGAAGCTGTC